TGAGGGGTGTGTGTGAGGGGTGTGTGTGTGAGGGGGTGTGTGAGGGGTGTGTGTGAGGGGTGTGTGTGAGGGGTGTGTGTGTGAGGGGGTGTGTGAGGGGTGTGTGTGAGGGGGTGTGTGAGGGGTGTGTGTGAGGAGGGGTGTTAGGGGGGTGTGATGAGGGTGTGTGAGGGGTGTGTGTGTGAGGGGGTGTGTGAGGGGTGTGTGTGAGGGGTGTGTGTGAGGGGTGTGTGTGTGAGGGGGGGTGTGAGGGGTGTGTGTGAGGGTGTGTGTGAGGGGGTGTGTGAGGGGTGTGTGTGAGGAGGGGTGTTAGGGGGGTGTGATGAGGGTGTGTGAGGGGGTGTGTGAGGGGGTGTGTGAGGGGGGGTGAGGGGGGTGAGGGGGGGTGAGGGGGGTTTGATGGGGGTGTGTGAGGGGGTGTTGCTACCAACACTAACACAGACTTAAACAACACCCATTTATTAACGACACCACCAACACCACCACCAACATTGAAAACACTAACACCAAAAAACACCAATAAAACCAACACCTACCCACTTCTACTATAACAACCATCACCACCACCAACACCACCACTAACATCACCACCAACACCACCAACATGACCAACACCACCAACACCACAAGCACCACTGACAGCAGCACCACCAACACCACCAACACCACTGACAGCAGCACCACCACCCACCCCGACCCACCAGCGAAGATTGATCACAATGCGCCCAGTACAACGCTCAATAATGAGCTTGGAGTAGATTTGTTTTGGATGTAGATGGCGCTCCCAGCCACTTCCGTTCTTAGGTCAGCGGCGCTGCGTCATTGACTGAGCGGTGGGGTAGGAGGGGGGGGGGAGTAAACTCCATCTTGTGCCGTGGCAACCACTCGCCCCCCACCCCCACCCCAACATGATAGCGTGCGACCAAGTTGGTGGTGATTATCCCTTTCTGTTGTTTGTATGTCCTGTTGTTTGTATGTCCTGTTGTTTGTGTGTCCTGTTGTTTGTGTGTCCTGTTGTTTGCGTGTCCTATTGTTTGTTTGTGTGTCATGTTGTTTGTGTGTCCTGTTGTTTGTGTGTCTTGTTGTTTGTGTGTCCTATTGTTTGTATGTCCTGTTGTTTGTGTGTCCTGTTGTTTGTATGTATGTCCTGTTGTTTGTGTGTCCTGTTGTTTGTATGTCCTGTTGTTTGTATGTCCTGTTGTTTGCGTGTCCTGTTGTTTGTGTGTCCTGTTGTTTGTGTGTCCTGTTGTTTGTGTGTCCTGTTGTTTGTGTGTCCTGTTGTTTGTGTGTCCTGTTGTTTGTGTGTCCTGTTGTTTGTGTGTTTCTCGTGTCCAGCGTTTCTTCCAGACTTTTTTCTCCGGGGGGGGGGGGGGCACTTGAAATTTTCGGGGGGGGGAGGTGGGCGGTAACTTTCTTTAAGGGGGGGGACACTGTTAAAAGTATATATTTTCTATATAAATTATATAAATTTCATTCCGTTCGGGGTGGGGGGGGGGGGGGTGCGGTAAAAATATTTTCGGGCGGGAACAAAGCGCCTAACTGTGACTTCATTTCAAATACAGCATTCAAAACACGACAAAATATATCGGGGCCATCAAAACACGACAAAATATATCGGGGCCATCAAAACACGACAAAATATATCGGGGCCATCAAAACACGACAAAATATATCGGGGCCATCAAAACACGACAAAATATATCGGGGCCATCAAAACACGACAAAATATGTCGCAGGCATGTCATAATACAATTTCGACATTACAAAATGTCGTTTTAAAGCGGTGCCACGTTCATGAAAGAATAATTAGACGGGACCATCGGGTGGTGAATAGACTGTAATTGTTAATTGACTAATTGATGGGTGAAATCTTAAGAAATCTTAAACATCGCCTTCATTTCTAATTGGTTTATGGTATTAAATTAATTAACTTATTAAGTGGTTTGTCTAGTCGGTGGACCAAAGTGAGACTACACTAGTCATTAGACCATAGTGAGACTAGACTAGTCGGTGGACCAAAGTGAGAATAGACTAGACTGGTCGGTGGACCAAAGTGAGAATAGACTAGACTGGTCGGTGGACCAAAGTGAGACTAGACTAGTCGGTGGACCAAAGTGAGACTAGACTAGACTGGTCGGTGGACCAAAGTGAGAATAGACTAGACTGGTCGGTGGACCAAAGTGAGACTAGACTAGTCGGTGGACCAAAGTGAGAATAGACTAGCTGGTGGACCAAAGTGAGACTAGACTAGACTAGTCGGTGGACCAAAGTGAGAATAGACTAGACTGGTCGGTGGACCAAAGTGAGACTAGACTAGTCGGTGGACCAAAGTGAGACTAGACTAGACTGGTCGGTGGACCAAAGTGAGAATAGACTAGACTGGTCGGTGGACCAAAGTGAGACTAGACTAGACTAGTTGGTGGACCAAAGTGAGACTAGACTAGTCGGTGGACCAAAGCTAGACTAGACTAGTCGGTGGACCAAAGTGAGAATAGACTAGACTGGTCGGTGGACCAAAGTGAGACTAGACTAGTCGGTGGACCAAAGTGAGACTAGACTAGACTGGTCGGTGGACCAAAGTGAGACTAGACTAGTTGGTGGACCAAAGTGAGACTAGACTAGTCGGTGGACCAAAGCTAGACTAGACAAGTCGGTGGACCAAAGCTAGACTAGACTAGTTGTTGGACCAAAGTGAGACTAGACTAGTTGTTGGACCAAAGTGAGACTAGACTAGACTAGTTGGTGGACCATAGTGAGACTAGACTAGTCGGTGGACCAAAGTGAGAATAGACTAGCTGGTGGACCAAAGTGAGACTAGACTAGACTAGTCGGTGGACCAAAGTGAGAATAGACTAGACTGGTCGGTGGACCAAAGTGAGACTAGACTAGTCGGTGGACCAAAGTGAGACTAGACTAGACTGGTCGGTGGACCAAAGTGAGAATAGACTAGACTGGTCGGTGGACCAAAGTGAGACTAGACTAGTCGGTGGACCAAAGTGAGACTAGACTAGACTGGTCGGTGGACCAAAGTGAGACTAGACTAGACTAGTTGGTGGACCAAAGTGAGACTAGACTAGTCGGTGGACCAAAGCTAGACTAGACTAGTTGTTGGACCAAAGTGAGACTAGACTAGTTGTTGGACCAAAGTGAGACTAGACTAGTTGTTGGACCAAAGCTAGACTAGACTAGTTGTTGGACCAAAGTGAGACTAGACTAGTTGTTGGACCAAAGTGAGACTAGACTAGTTGTTGGACCAAAGCTAGACTAGACTAGTCGGTGGACCAAAGCTAGACTAGACTAGTTGGTGGACCAAAGTGAGACTAGAATAGTCGGTGGACCATAGTGAGACTAGACTAGTTGGTGGACCAAAGTGAGACTAGACTAGACTAGTTGGTGGACCAAAGTGAGACTAGACTAGACTAGTTGGTGGACCAAAGTGAGACTAGACTAGTCGGTGGACCAAAGTGAGACTAGACTAGACTGGTTGGTGGACCAAAGTGAGACAAGACTAGACTGGTTGGTGGACCAAAGTGAGACTAGACTAGTTGGTGGACCAAAGTGAGACTAGACTAGTTGGTGGACCAAAGTGAGACTAGACTAGACTAGTTGGTGGACCAAAGTGAGACTAGACTAGACTAGTTGGTGGACCAAAGTGAGACTAGACTAGTTGGTGGACCAAAGTGAGACTAGACTAGTTGGTGGACCAAAGTGAGACTAGACTAGACTAGTTGTTGGACCAAAGTGAGACTAGACTAGTTGTTGGACCAAAGCTAGACTAGACTAGTTGGTGGACCATAGTGAGACTAGACTAGTCGGTGGACCAAAGTGAGACTAGACTAGACTGGTCGGTGGACCAAAGTAAGACTAGACTAGACTAGTTGGTTGACCAAAGTGAGACTAGACTAGTCATTGGACCATAGTGAGACTAGACTAGTTGGTGGACCATAGTGAGACTAGACTAGTTGGTGGACCAAAGTGAGACTAGGCTAGTCGGTGGACCAAAGTGAGACTAGACTAGTCATTAGACTATAGTGAGACTAGACTAGTTGGTGGACCATAGTGAGACTAGACTAGTTGGTGGACCATAGTGAGACTAGACTAGTTGGTGGACCATAGTGAGACTAGACTAGTTGGTGGACCAAAGTGAGACTAGGCTAGTCCGTGGACCAAAGTGAGACTAGACTAGCTCAATGATCAAGAATGAGTTCCCCCCCCCCCAACCCCACAGCATACCTCCGTGTAAATCAATACAATCGACAGAAAATATACAAACATATTTTACCGGTAATCAATTATCAAATATATTATCAATTATTTCAAGAACACAAAAATCTTCACTTGAACCTCGGAATCCGGTACACCCTAGTCTTAATTAATATAGGGCTACCATGTAGCACTAGGCTATCATATAGCACTAGGCTAGCATGTAGCACTAGGCTAGCATGTAGCACTAGGCTAGCATGTAGCACTAGGCTACCATGTAGCACTAGGCTACCATGTAGCACTAGGCTATCATGTAGCACTAGGCTAGCATATAGCACTAGGCTAGCATGTAGCACTAGGCTACCATGTAGCACTAGGCTACCATGTAGCACTAGGCTGGCATGTAGCACTAGGCTGGCATGTAGCACTAGGCTAGCATGTAGCACTAGGCTAGCATGTAGCACTAGGCTAGCATGTAGCACTAGGCTAGCATGTAGCACTAGGCTACCATCTAGCTGGCAAAAGACGCACTCACTTATTTGCTAAGCCGACGAGAAAAACTAACTTAATAAAAAAAATTAATTTAGAATAAAATATAGCTTTTATTGAAACATTAAAACTTTTAGAAATAATTTTTGTTAGTTTTGCATAAATATTGATCGACTATATAAAATGCTAATAGATTAAGAATGAAAGAATGCTACTTAAAGGATGAATGATTGCTATTGTAAGAAGGAATGATTGCTACTTAAAAGATGAATGATTGCTATTGTAAGAAGGAATGATTGCTACTTTACTTGTGATGATGTCTTTGATCTCTCTGCTATCACTTTCTTATACAAGTTCCAGAATGGACACAAAAACAGGAATTCCGTGTTTGACGAGGAAGCTGCCCTAGGCATCAATAAATAAATGCATTTCCTTTCAGCGGGCAGCTCGCGGTGTCAGCGGCGGCGTGGGGTGGCGTTTGGTGGGGCGGCGTGGGGTGTGGTGGGGCGGCGTGGGGTGGGTGGAGCGGACTGACTAGAAAACACGGATTCTAATCTTGTCGGTGGCGTCTACTAGAGATGCTACACCAGCCCACGTCCATAGACCTAGAGGTGCTACACCAGCCCACGTCCATAGAGGTGCTACACCAGCCCACGTCCATAGAGGTGCTACACCAGCCCACGTCCATAGTGGTGCTACACCAGCCCACGTCCATAGAGGTGCTACACCAGCCCACGTCTATAGAGGTGCTACACCAGCCCACGTCCATAGAGGTGCTACACCAGCCCACGTCCATAGTGGTGCTACACCAGCCCACGTCTATAGAGGTGCTACACCAGCCCACGTCCATAGACCTAGAGGTGCTACACCAGCCAACGTCCATAGAGGTGCTAAACCATCCCACGTCCATAGAGGTGCTACACCAGCCCACGTCCATAGAGGTGCTACACCAGCCCACGTCCATAGAGGTGCTACACCAGCCCACGTCCATAGACCTAGAGGTGCTACACCAGCCCACGTCCATAGAGGTGCTACACTAACCCACGTCCATAGAGGTGCTACACCAGCCCACGTCCATAGCCCTAGAGGTGCTACACCAGCCCACGTCCATAGACCTAGAGGTGCTACACCAGCCCACGTCCATAGAGGTGCTACACCAGCCCACGTCCATAGTGGTGCTACACCAGCCCACGTCCATAGACCTAGAGGTGCTACACCAGCCCACGTCCATAGAGGTGCTACACCAGCCCACGTCCATAGATCTAGAGGTGCTACACCAGCCCACGTCCATAGATCTAGAGGTGCTACACCAGCCCACGTCCATAGATCTAGAGGTGCTACACCAGCCCACGTCAATAGAGGTGCTACACCAGCCCACGTCCATAGATCTAGAGGTGCTACACCAGCCCACGTCAATAGAGGTGCTACACCAGCCCACGTCCATATAGGTGCTACACCAGCCCACGTCTATAGATCTAGAGGTGCTACACCAGCCCACGTCCATAGACCTAGAGGTGCTACACCAGCCCACGTCCATAGATCTAGAGGTGCTACACCAGCCCACGTCAATAGAGGTGCTACACCAGCCCACGTCTATAGACCTAGAGGTGCTACACCAGCCCACGTCCATAGAGGTGCTACACCAGCCCACGTCCATAGAGGTGCTACACCAGCCCACGTCCATAGAGGTGCTACACCAGCCCACGTCCATAGAGGTGCTACACCAGCCCACGTCCATAGAGGTGCTACACCCGCCCACGTCCATAGACCTAGAGGTGCTTCACCAGCCCACGTCCATAGAGGTGCTACACCAGCCCACGTCCATAGAGGTGCTACACCAGCCCACGTCCATAGACCTAGAGGTGCTACACCAGCCAACGTCCATAGGGGTGCTACACCAACCCACGTCCATAGTGGTGCTACACCAGCCCACGTCCATAGAGGTGCTACACCAGCCCACGTCCATAGACCTAGTGGTGCTACACCAGCCCACGTCCATAGAGGTGCTACACCAGCCCACGTCTATAGAGGTGCTAAACCATCCCACGTCCATAGAGGTGCTACACCAGCCCACGTCCATAGAGGTGCTACACCAGCCCACGTCCATAGAGGTGCTACACCAGCCGACGTCCATAGAGGTGCTACACCAGCCCACGTCCATAGTGGTGCTACACCAGCCCACGTCCATATAGGTGCTACACCAGCCCACGTCCATATAGGTGCTACACCAGCCCACGTCTATAGACCTAGAGGTGCTACACCAGCCCACGTCCATAGAGGTGCTACACCAGCCCACGTCCATAGAGGTGCTACACCAGCCCACGTCTATAGAGGTGCTACACCAGCCCACATCCATAGACCTAGAGGTGCTACACCAGCCCACGTCCATAGAGGTGCTACACCAGCCCACGTCTATAGAGGTGCTACACCAGCCCACGTCAATAGAGGTGCTACACCAGCCGACGTCTATAGAGGTGCTACACCAGCCCACGTTCATAGAGGTGCTACACCAGCCCACGTCTATAGACCTAGAGGTGCTACACCAGCCCACGTCCATAGAGGTGCTACACCAGCCCACGTCCATAGAGGTGCTACACCAGCCCACGTCCATAGAGGTGCTACACCAGCCCACGTCCATATAGGTGCTACACCAGCCCACGTCCATATAGGTGCTACACCAGCCCACGTCTATAGACCTAGAGGTGCTACACCAGCCCACGTCCATAGAGGTGCTACACCAGCCCACGTCCATAGAGGTGCTACACCAGCCCACGTCTATAGAGGTGCTACACCAGCCCACATCCATAGACCTAGAGGTGCTACACCAGCCCACGTCCATAGAGGTGCTACACCAGCCCACGTCTATAGAGGTGCTACACCAGCCCACGTCAATAGAGGTGCTACACCAGCCGACGTCTATAGAGGTGCTACACCAGCCCACGTTCATAGAGGTGCTACACCAGCCCACGTCTATAGACCTAGAGGTGCTACACCAGCCGACGTCTATAGACCTAGAGGTGCTACACCAGCCCACGTCTATATCGGTGCTACACCAGCCCACGTCTATAGACCTAGAGGTGCTACACCAGCCCACGTCTATAGACCTAGAGGTGCTACACCAGCCCACGTCCATAGAGGTGCTACACCAGCCCACGTCTATAGAGGTGCTACACCAGCCCACGTCCATAGAGGTGCTACACCAGCCCACATCCATAGACCTAGAGGTGCTACACCAGCCCACGTCCATAGTGGTGCTACACCAGCCCACGTCCATATAGGTGCTACACCAGCCCACGTCCATAGACCTAGAGGTGCTACACCAGCCCACGTCCATAGATCTAGAGGTGCTACACCAGCCCACATCCATAGACCTAGAGGTGCTACACCAGCCCACGTCCATAGACCTAGAGGTGCTACACCATCCCACGTCCATAGAGGTGCTACACCAGCCCACGTCCATAGAGGTGCTACACCAGCCCACGTCTATAGAGGTGCTACACCAGCCCACGTCCATAGACCTAGAGGTGCTACACCAGCCCACGTCTATATCGGTGCTACACCAGCCCACGTCCATAGACCTAGAGGTGCTACACCAGCCCACGTCTATATCGGTGCTACACCAGCCCACGTCCATAGAGGTGCTACACCAGCCCACGTCCATAGAGGTGCTACACCAGCCCACGTCCATAGACCTAGAAGTGCTACACCATCCCACGTCCATAGAGGTGCTACACCAGCCCGCGTCCATAGACCTAGAGGTGCTACACCAGCCCACGTCCATAGAGGTGCTACACCAGCCCACGTCTATAGAGGTGCTACACCAGCCCACGTCCATAGAGGTGCTACACCAGCCCACGTCCATAGCAAACATTGAGAAAATAAAAAAAACTGTACAGGTAGATCTGCTATGTGTAGCTGTACATCTGAACCTAACGTTTTCAGCCAATCAGGATTGAGCTGTTGTCTTAGTTTACTTGCTATTGATTTGGACGAATGAAACAAAGAAGTGTTTATAATTTAATGGCTGTTGTCGGGGCTCGGGTCCAGTCGTCTGCCAACTTCGGCAGCAACTTGTCACATTTACGGTGCTGTGTGACAGCAACTTGTCACATTTATGATGCTGTGTGACATACTCAGACGGGTGCAGGACAAAAGGCCGACACTGGAGAGATCGACAGGACATAATGCCGACAACCCATAATGCCAACACTTTTAACACCACAGTACTTCTATAAACTGATGCTAATACCGCCATACTTCGAATCATGCCGGACTACATGGAACTACTTGGTCAAACAAAATGACCTTACTTTATTGTTTGTGTGGCGTGTGTGTGACGTGTGTGTGACGTGTGTGTGACGTGTGTGACGTGAGTGTGTGATGTGTGTGTATGACGTGTGTATGACGTGTGTGTGTGATGTGTGTGTGACGTGTGTGTGACGTGTGTGTGGCGTGTGTGTGACGTGTGTGTGTGACGTGTGTGTGACGTGTGTGTGACGTGTGTGTGACGTGTGTGACGTGAGTTTGTGATGTGTGTGTATGACGTGTGTATGACGTGTGTGTGTGATGTGTGTGTGACGTGTGTGTGACGTGTGTGTGTGATGTGTGTGTGACGTGTGTGTGACGTGTGTGTGACGTGTGTGTGACGTGTGTGTGACGTGTGTGTGACGTGTGTGTGACGTGTGTGTGACGTGTGTGTGTGACGTGTGTGTGATGTGTGTGTGACGTGTGTGTGACGTGTGTGTGACGTGTGTGTGACGTGTGTGTGACGTGTGTGTGGCGTGTGTGTGGCGTGTGTGTGACGTGTGTGTGACGTGTGTGTGACGTGTGTGTGACGTGTGTGTGACGTGTGTGTGACGTGTGTGTGACGTGTGTGTGACGTGTGTGTGACGTGTGTGTGACGTGTGTGTGGCGTGTGTGTGTGACGTGTGTGTGACGTGTGTGTGGCGTGTGTGTATGACGTGTGTGTGACGTGTGTGTGACGTGTGTGTGACGTGTGTGTGACGTGTGTGTGACGTGTGTGTGACGTGTGTGTGGCGTGTGACGTGTGTGTGACATGTAACGCTTGTGTGACATGTGACGTTTGTGTAGGTTGTTTGTATGACGTGTCAGTGTGAATAGATCTTCTAACTTTGCCAAGAGCTTTTATGACACGTATCATTTTGACACTCAGACAAATGTCATCAGAGAAACGTTGACATGTGTCAATGTTAGACCAGGATGAAAGCGGGAGGACTTGATGTCGTTACCTAGGAGCGAGGGTTGCTGTAATAGGCTTTTGGTCGGGGCCACTATCTACAGCCTCTCGGCATTGGCGCAGGGGGGGGGTGACGTCAGACAGGGGTATTTGTCAGACTGACGTGTACATTAGGTTGTCCCTTGCGGTCAGATTACAG